ATCTAGCATAGTGGTTAGGAGTCCAGGCTGTACCATTTACCACCTCCAATGCCTTAGTCAAGTTATTTAACCTCTATGCACATCAGTATCTTGATCTGTAAAATGGATTCAACACTGCTATCTACCTCATGGAATTGTGAGAATTAACTGTAATAGCATATAAAGAGCATTTAAAACACATAGTAGGTCCTCAATAAATATCTTCTAAATTAATAGAATATTAATTTTCTCATTATTATATTATTACCATGAGAAACTTTCATTATGTGATGGAAGAGTGAGGAGATCCCTATTCAGTATCACAACTTCTGTTATTATGGTAGGGCCAGATTGCCAAGCAGACTCATCTACAGATATTTCTCAGTATATGAAGGGAAAAGAAAAAACAACAATTAAATGACTCAAAACAAAAAAAAAAAACAATGAAATTGGGGATGAGATGGAGAAGGGGATTGACATCTTAAAATTAAATAAAGGCATTGCCACAGAGCAACTACTGGGGAGACAGTTGAGCCAGGCCTGGGTCTTTTATTTTTCTAGCTCAAGACTTTGACTAATTGCAAGTGTTGAGTTTCCTCTTGGATTTGAATAAACCACAAAAGGAAAGACTATTGTTCCTTTTTTTCAGCACTTCTTACATCTTGCTTCTTTTTCTGCTTCCTTCCCTGGGACTCTGCTCTAATATAAGAAACCAAAATGGTGGCACTTCCTTCATGAGAACAGAAACTGTGGGCTCCATGGAGGGATGGAATACTACATAAATTGTACTTGGCTCATCTCCTGATGAAAAGCAGCTGAAAGATGGGGATCTGGGTGTACTTTATCATTCATGCTCCTCATTTCTTGGCCATGTGGTAAGGACTGCTTCAACAGACCCTGACATTAAGCCTGGTGGGGCTGGAACAGCTATGGGGCAAGCCAATCCCAGCTGGGGCCTACTGGGCTTTTAATTTTCCATACATGTACAGATATGTACAGGAATCCAGCATGTGGACTGCAAGTAAACTTGGGTAACAATCCACTGACAAGTATCAGTATCTATGAATAAATCACAGTGGCATGGGCTGCAAATTTAGCTCCAGGAAATAGGGACTTAGACAAACAAGGAGAAAAGGCGTTCACTCAACTTCTTCCTGAAATGCCAGAGGAATAAAACAGGTCAGTGGTTAATACAAAATTATCTTTTGGTCAGTCTCCAAAGTGATTTGACCTATTTAGGAGTCATTGAGAATGAGCCAAAGGAAGTTCAGTGGCCTGCATCTTGATTTGTCAAGGGAGAGAGGGTATGGACTGCCAGATGCCCTGAGTCACTTATTATGGAGCATATGAGTGAATATGGCTGAAACTCATGAGAAGGGTTCTGGGACTGTGACTTTGGGCCAACTCCTGACACAATTTAGCTTGCAAATGATAACCCCAGCAGATGCATTGGCAACCAGGTGTGCTAGCTTAGTGGCCTTGGTCACTGAAAGGACCATATAGGATTCTGAAAGCCTTCCTACAGGTTAAACTCTTCTCCAAGACCCTTCTGTAAAAGGTAAACTCAGATCAAGTCAGCAAAGGAATGCAGACATTAAGACTTCAGTGGAGAGCAAAGCTACAAAAATACTGAGGCCAACTCCATTTTAGCCAAGCAGATTGGAGTTGGTAGTGGATGCTGTTGGTGCCCTGCTAGTTTTAATTTTTTTTCCATTTATTGACTTGAGAGAGAGAGAGGGAGAGAGAGAGAGAGAGAGGCATTGATTTGTCATTCTACTTATTTATGCATTCATTGGTTGCTTCTTGTATGTGCCCTGACTGGGGATTGAACCTGAAACCTTGGCATATCAGGATGACACTCTAACCTAAGCATGTCAAACTTGAGGCCTGTGGGCTACATGAGGCCAACAACACATACTAATGAACGATTACTCATTTACTTCAGCCCTTTGTATTCAACATGTCTCTATAGAAATAAACCTACGTTTCTATGAAAGTGGAAGCTTTTGTTTTTTTGCAGCCCACATAAACTTAAACCTTGTTTATTTGGCCCGTGTTAGCCTTTGTGTTTGCCATGCATGCTCTAACCAATTGAGATATCCAGCCAGGCCAACTACTGCTAGCTTAATAGCTGTGTGATCTTAGTCAAGTTCCTCAAACTATCTTGGCCTCAGTTTCCTCATCTATAAATGAGGAATAACAAAATGCATAGCATTGTTGTAAAGATTACATAAGATTCTGTGTAGAAAGCACAGTCACTGGCACATCATTAATTTTTTACACATCAATGTAATTTGAAAACTGGTACCTATCACTATTATTGTTGTTATAAACATGTCTATCTTCTCCCATAGGCTGTAAACTTCTCCTGGGCAAGAATAGTACCCAAGGCCTTCTGGTATCACCCAAATATCTTACCAGAATAAGGGCTTAATACATGTTGGTTGAGTGGATAAAAAGCATCTCACTGTGGAAAGGACTTCCTGCTTTCTCATACTGTAGATTTAGGAAACAGTAAGAAATAGACGAGGCCTGTGGGAACTTTTTTTCCCCTTAATTTAATCTATGAGAGTTGTGGTGGGTGGTGTGCTAAAGAAAATCAAGACTGAATAAGAATCTACTCCTCATACTCTCCCAGAAGTCTGCAGAAAGAAAATATATTCTATTTGTTTTAGGGTTCTCCCCTCCCTTTTTTGTATTCTCTGATAGATTTAGTGTGCCAGTAAGTCCTGCTGACCTCTTTTTGGTTTTTTCTTTTCTGTCTTTTAATTCTCTTTTCCATTTTTCTCCATTGCTCATCTTGGTGTTTTTTGTTGTTTTTTTCACCTTGGTTTTTGTCTTCTATGGGATTAGTGCTGCTGGCCTAGTGTCCACAGAAGAAACTCTGGGAGTCAAGAGGTATCGTGCAACTAGGGTCCCAGAACTTCCCATAGGCCCTACAAAGAGCTAGCCAGCAGTTGCATCAAAACCATATGTCAGGATTGTTGATCATCAAACTCCCTCCATTTTGTTTTCTCATCCCAGACTTCCCTTTGGCCCTTCTGCAAAGGTGAAAGGAAAATTCACAGGATTCTGGGTCTTCTTTCTTTTCTGACATCTGGTTTGATTCTGGGCAACTAAATAGTGGCTTTGCCATGAACAACAAAAGCTAATTCACTATGGTTTTTAAACACCAAGTGCAAATATTTTTCCTTTTCAGCTTGGGGTCACTGGAAGGGAAAAAAACAGGACTGAGAAGGAGATTAACCTTTTAAAAACTCTTACAACTTCCCATAGAAAATAAAACAATGGCATCATTTCCTCCATTCATGAAAGTCGTTTTATGAGTGATTGAGGTAAGACTAGGGATCTGAAGAAGAGTTTTAGCTTGGTTGTCTACTCAAAAGCCCACCATGATTGCTTTTAAGAGGCCACACAAATCCCAGTAAAGTCCTGGGCCACCCTCTTTGCTTTCTCTCTCCCCTGTCTTCATCCCTGGCTGACTTTCCCTCTACCTTCTCTCCAGCCCTTTGATTTCCTCCCTCATGCAGGGCCCTGACCCTCTGCTAATGAGAGGGAAATGTTAGGCAGGAGCATTGCAATTTATAGTATTTAGGCAATGGCCATGCCATCCAATGATGCCATTAACAGATGCTTGGAAGGATGAAGATTCTGTCTGGGTCACTTCCCCAAGGTTCTAGCCAGATTTTCTGTTGATTTGGGCTAGCTTAATGCATCCCAGAAACTCAGCACCATTCAGTTACTCCTCAGAAATGAAGTCACCTACTCTGGCTCTTGATCCACATGATTAAGGAGTAGAAACATCCAATGCAGGAAACTGATGCCATCTGCATAGACCTGGCAACTCTCAGAAGAAAGCAAGTCCATATACCTCACTATTAGCTGTTTCAATGTTTTCTCTATACAACAAAACAAAAGCTCTTTTCCAACTTTCCATTACTTTATCTTCCTTCTTTCTCTCTACCCATCCAGCTTTTGCATATGGATTCAGTTGCTGGGTTCAGGTGGGAGGTGAAGCATATGCCATGATGGCATATGCCTCGATGACATAAAGGCTATTAGAGCAAAACTGTAGAAGTCCCTAAATTCTCCCTTTCTTGCCAAGAGGATGATCTGGGTAGGCTTCAGGATGGCTGGTGCTTGTGAAGGAGCTTAAAGGTTCTTGCCATGCACTATTACTGTTGTTATTGGCATCGCCAGAATCTGACATGTTGATACAGGTGGTATGTGTGTTGAGGGTAGATAATTATCAGAAATTGATCTTTAGCCTGCAAAGAAAAACTGAAGCTGTATCCCCTTGCATCCTTTCAGTGCATGTGCAAACATATGCAGACCTGTTGAACAGCTCACCCTCGCACATACCTAAAATTACACAGCCAAGTGAACCAGCCCCAGTCTGGTGAGAGAATGGGTGGCAATGTGGGATAGCCATGGGGTGATGGAATGGGATGTATTCCTTCTTGTTACAGGACAACTGGCATAGGGGCTGGGCTGCTGTGGCTCCCTGGGTTTTAATATTTGTCCAGTTACCTACTCTGGCATCGTGCCAATGATTTCCATAGCCACATGGCACTTGGCAGTGCTTTTTAAGCTGGTGGGGCCTGAGAGTCTGCATTTCTAACAAGGTCCCAGGTGATGCCTGACCCCTGGCCTATTGAACTTGGAGCAGCAAGGCTGTAAAAATGTACCACTGCATTCTAAACTCCTCCAGGGCTGGAAAAGGAAAGTACTAAGCTCCTCCTCTGGAGACAGGGTGTGTCCGAAGCTGCCCCGGAGTCCTGATTTGCCATTCAAGTGAACCCCAGAGGGATTAGCCGCTGGCCCAGCACTTGGGTGAGACCATCTGCCCCTCCATGGGGGAGTCCTGGAGGCAGCACAGATGTTGTGTGAAAATCTGCCACCATCCTTGCTGAAGGTTGCCCTCTCTCACCCTCCCGCCACCCCCTGCTCTGCCTGCTGACTTAAGCAGATCAGCTTTCAGCTCTCTGGGACTCCAAAGAGGGCTTTGGATAAAAGAAAAGGCCTGTCCTTAAGAAGCAGAGCTGGAATCCAAGCATGCCTCTCCCCTGCTGCATGCCCAAGAATGCAGGTATTTGGGGTTTGCAGCATTTCCTGGCTAAACAGAGGGGGAGGGGAATGGGGGGTGGTAAGCCAGACATAATGGAGAGGGGCATGAGCTGCAGTTGCTTCCTATTCTGGGGGTACTAAGTATGTTTTTTGAAAAATGTGAGCCCTTGCACAGGAACAGACATGAACAAGGGAGACTCTGCCTGAACCTCAGGGATGACCTTGACAATTGGGGCCAGTGGCTACTAAGCTTTAAAGACTTTGGGGTCTTCATATGGGCTGGCCATGTTTGCAACTTTGCTCCTTCTGAAGTGTTGGACTACTTAAGACAGAAAGGACAAGACTTTCTCCCTCCTCTTCTTCCACTCTAACATTTGGATGTCTTCCAAGAGGGTTCCAGGGTAGGATTCCCCAGGGCTGCTGGGATGAGGCTGCAGTAGGCTCAGGCCCGCATCCTGCCTCCAATTGCACTGTGCCCCTCCGGCTGGCTTGTCCCTTTCTTCTCCCCCCCACCCCCGCCCCACTCCTGTCTTCTTGGAATTCCTCAATATTCTACCCTTACCCTGAGAGTACACAGAGAGATTTCTTTATCTCTCTATGGCTCAAATCAGCCCTGAATCGGGAGTCCCTAGACCCAAATTTCCCAATATTTTGTTTCTGTTCCATCTTAAATAGTCTCAAACCATTTGGTAGTATGTCTTGACTTCTTTAGTCCTTTAAACCTTCCTTCATGATATTCCTTTATTATGGAATGTTGGCCACACAACAGAATGCTGTTTGAAAAGTATTGAACTCTTTGTGATATTCGTCCTGCATTGGGGTAGTCCTTCCATTTTAACTCAGACTCCTAAATGTCAGAGACAGTGCCTTTCTTATATTCTTTCTCCCCCCTCCTCCCCTAGTAATGTGGAACATTCATGGGTGAGCAGTGTTGTAGATTTGCCTCCACTGTCTCTGTGGAGACTGATGCATGGCATGGCCATGCTCCAAGAGCCACATGTTAGCCTAACCACTCCCAATATGGTTGTGTGCAGCCCTGCTGCGTGAAAGTGTTATTCTGTCCTGCCATCTCAGAATACACCCTCTGAGTTGCTTTTCCAGGTGTGGTGACGGGGAGGCACTGATTTGTGCCTGCTTTGTTATCTAAAATCCTTTAGGAAGGGAATGAATCATGCTTGTGGACCAGGCAGCTTTTGGTGGGTACCCCTGAACCTCTGTCAGTTTCTTCAGGGCATTACAGTTTCCGAATTTGGGGGTGAAGCTGTTCAAATCCAAATTCCTAGTATCATATATACTTATGATGAATAAGCATTATTTGATGTGCAGGCCACATTTCAGACTAATTAACTCAGAATCTCTGGGGATGAACCCAGGCATCAGTGCGTTTTTTAAAAAGCTCCCAGGGTGGATTCAAATGTGCATCCAGGCTTGAAAATCACTGACTTAGGTAAGAAGTAAGAATTCCACTCCCACTCTAACCCCAACTTCCTCAGGGAACTGAGACAATTAAAGATGTAAGTCCACACATTTTCATAAGTTTCAGTGGATTCAGGGGAAAGTGTTCAACAGCCAGGAAGTATTCATAAGGCCAGAAGACTAAGTAATGGGATGGAGACCAAAGAAATGAGTCCCCTCCAGGTACCTTCCAGAAGGTTCCATTCTAAGCTCAAAGAGAAACATGGGAGAAGGCTGTTAGAATAGCTTGACTCAGTTTACCTCAGAGAGTTGGAGATCCAAGGCATGGGGTGGCTGGCAGGCCAGGGAGGGATAGTGGAAGCTTGCAGGGCTACAGACAGAGGGCTCAAGCTTGTTGCAGCTGCTGGCACTTTATGAGTTTGGCCATCTTCTGGCATTAGTTCCAAAAGGTCATGGCACCCCCTGCCAACTCTGGACAGCACGTAAGTATAGAGACCAGGCCCTTAATCAAAGATGCCTCCAAGTAGGAGTTGGCAGATATTGCATTCAGCACAATAAAAGCTGAGGAGAAAATGACTGCTTTTTGCTCAACACAAATTTTATTATACCAGATTTTATTATAAAGTGTTATAATTTTAGGTGTGTGTTTACTACATAAACAATGCAGTTTCTCTGATCTTCACCATCAAACTGTAATCTTAAGGGGAGTTTTATTTATAAGATTTAAAGCTATTGAACAATTGTTTTATATGATTGCCTTATAAGCATAGGAATAATTCAGGGGAAAATAAAACTGTGCTTTCTTTCCTCCTTAACCCCTGCTCAATCTCCCCGACCTGGGGACAGGCACAGCCACATGTGCTGACAATGTTAGATCTTAAAGCTGATAGATTATAGCTGAGTGGACATCAAAAGGATAATGTGGTCTTTAGGAAAAATGGAACATGGGACTCAAGCTTCAGGCTTCTGTTGCATACCGCCTACAAGGATGTCCTGGTGGCTTGGGCAGGAGTGAGAATCACTTAAGCTTATTGGGAAAGCTCTCTGGGCCCAGACAGACCCTTAAGCCAGTCCATAGTCAGGGGCCAGGGGGCCCAATAGCTACTGCCATTATTTATGTCCAGATCTCTGGACATTAGTATTTCCCAGAAAGAAAGAATTCATATTAGTATGAATGTCAGTTCAGGTCCCTTAGTTCATTCCTGGGAACTCCACATTCAGGGAGAGCAAAGTGTAGGCTGCCATCATCTTATGGCAATGTCTGTTTTGTCCATTTTATTGGTGTTTTCTGGTTTTAACTTATCTGATTTTATATTCATTTACTTGAGATTTTAACTTTTTTTCTATTTCTTAATTTGAATGCTTAGTTTAAAAAATAAATATAAGACCCTGGCAAGTGGCAATCAGTTGCTTGAGTGTCCTCCCATGCACCAAAAGGTGCCAGCTCAATTCCAGGTCAGGGCACGTACCTGGGTTGCAGGCTTGATCCCGGTAAGGGGTGTGCAGGAGGCAGCTGAATAATGTTTCTCTCACACATCAATTTTTCTCTCTCCCCCTCTCCTTTTCTCTCTCTCTCTCTCTAATAAATAAATAAATAAATAAATAAATAAATAAAATAATTGAGAACTATAAATTTAACTCAGAATTAAATTTAGCCTTGGTAATTTGCATTGGTTTTATATGTTGGTTTATTATGGGTTTCATTCTCTAGGTAGGTTTTAAAGAGGCAGCATGGTATAGAGAAAATGGACTTTGGTATCTGTCAGATCTGGGTTTGAATTCTTACTCTACCACTTATCAGTTGTATGACTTCGGGAAAGTTCCGGGATTGCAACTTCCTAATTTTTCAAATGAAGATGATAATATCTTCCTTGTGTAGTCTTTAAATTAGAAAGAAATGAAAGAATGCCAGCACAAGACTTAGCATAGCGCACCTAGTAGCTGCTCAATCTATAGTAGCTATGGATAATAATCATATTTAAAATAATATGCCTTTGGCACAGGCAAAAGCTTTGTGGCTGTGAAGCTGCTCTCCATTTGCATGGCTTAGGCAGAAGGCCAGGACAGTGGGTGTCCTTTCTGGATCAACCCACTTATATTAATGTCCTCCAGAGGCACTGGCAGATGGGACATGAAAATACCAACATTGTGCCTAGGGGAAGGCATGCAGCCAAATGTTACACTGGATTGAGCATGCTGAAGTGAGCCAGGAAAAACTCGGCACAGCACACAAAATCTTGCCATTGAGAAATTCCTCCCAAGTTTCTTACTCCCCGTCTCTTGTGGAATAGAATATTTGAGTTGCTCTGTCTCAGATCTGGCCCCTTTCTTGGCTGCTCAACTGAGACGCTTCTCATTCTGTAGGGAACTGAGCATTGGGGGAGCTAAACTTTTTGAAGTCACATCTTGGTGCTGGGCTTTGTATATGATACATGACAGAGACACAGTTCTGCCCTTGAGGACTTCCGAGTTAGGAGGATACTGACCCATGGGCACCGGAAAGCTGGATCCCTCAGGGCCCATCCACAGGAAGGAGGGGCCAACTCTCTCTCATGGGGTGGCTCAGCTAGTCAACTGGGACCATTGGAGGAGGTGATTTTTGAACCAACTCTGTTATGGTATATAGGTTAAGACATATAAAGTTTTAGGTGTGTTATTGTTTGTGGGGATTTTTTGGTTTTGTCTTATTTTTTAGAATACAATATAATGAGCTCACTCTGATGATTTTCAAAACTAAAGAAAAAAAAGTTCCTGGTCTCTAAAACAAAGGGAAACATCCTATATGCCAAAATTTTGCAGAAAATTACAGCCTATTTGCTTTGGGTTGATTCTTGCCTTCTCACAGTCTGGGGGGTAGGGAGGTAGAGGAGATGGTAAGATTAGGAAAGGGTAACACTGCAGGAAGTTGTCAGCAATTATAATCTGCTGTCCACATTCTCTCTATCCTGCACAAGCCCTCTGTATGTAAATTCAGGTGGAAGTTACTTGACTGTTCAAGGAAGAATCTTCTAGTCTTCTCTGAAGCCTACCCATGCCAAATGTCAAACTCCAATAAAGGTAAAAATACAAATGTTTCCTCAACTTTGAAAAACTGAGGCCTCCCAGGAATGTTATCTTTATTCCTTTCTTGCCCTACCCTACAATGAAGCAAAGAGGAAATTTTTATTGTTCTTCAAGATAGAATACTCACTCTTCGCTAACTGCCTTGTTTTACTGGTATGCTTGCCATAGATGGCATTTGGCTATTAACAACTAGGATCCCTCTTCCATCTAAATTTTTATCGCTGGAAACCTTCACCAGCAAGTTGGAGCTGGATGATTAATTTGAAAATAACAATGTGCTTGAGAATAGGCCAGAGGCACACATCAACAACCACAGAGCCCTTGGCTTAAATGAGTGATAAATTACTCATCCCAACCAACATAGACCTACAGTTCCTGCTCTGAATACCAGGAGTGATGACAGGTGCCACGGGTTTCTAGTACTTTCCATGCCTACCTTGGAAAGCAAGGAAAATGGCCGCCTGAGATAATTAAGATAATTGAATTGTATACTGAGTGCTTTTCCTTGGAAAGAAGTTGATTTGTGGCTTCTCTTGATTAATT